ATGGCCATACTGGTCAGACCAAAGATCCAGGTAGCCTAGTCTCCTGTCTTCTGACAGAGGCCAATGCCAGGTGCCTCCAAGGGAATGAGCAGAGCAGGTAATCAAGCAATCCCTCCCCTGTCACCCATTCCTAGCCTCTGACAAACAGAGGCTACGAACACCATCCCTGTCCATCCTTGTTAACAGTCCTTGACGGACCTGTCCTCCCATGAACTTATCTAGTTCTTGTTTGAACCCTGTTAAAATCTTGGCCTTCAGAAAATCCTCTGGCAAGGAGTTCCACAGGTTGACTCTGTGTTGCATGAAGAGATTCTTCCTTTTGTTTATATTAAACCTGCTCCCTATTAATTTCATTTGGTGATCCCTAGTTCTTATGTTATGGAAACAAGTAGGTAACCTTTCCTTATTCACTTTCTCCACACAAGTCATGATTTTATAGACCTCTGTCATATCTCCCCCCAGTCTCCTCTTTTCTAAGATGAAAAGTCCCAGTTGTCTTAATCTCTCCTTATATAGCAGCTATTCCAAACCCTTAATAATTTGTTGCCCTTTTCTGAACTTTTTCCAGCGCTGAGATACCTTTTTTGAGATGTGATGATCACATCTGTATGCAGTATTCAAGATGGCATGGATTTATACAGAGGCAATAAGATATTCTGTTTTATTCCTAATATTGTTTACTTTTTTAACTGCTGCTGCACACTGAGTGGATGTTTGAGATCTATCCATAATGACTCCAAGATCTTTCTCTTGAATGGTAATACCTAATTTAGTTCCAGTCATTTTACATGTATATTTGGGATTGTTTTCCAATATGCATTACTTTGCATTTATCAACATTAAAATTCATGTACCATTTTGTTGCCTAGTCACCTAGTTTTGTGAGATCCTTTTGAAGCTTTTCACAGTTTGCTTTGGGCTTAACTATCTTGAGCTGTTTTGTATCATCTGCAAATTTTGCCACCTCACTGTTTACCCCTTTCTCCAGATCATTCAACATAGGATTGGTCCCAGTACCAACCCCGGTGGGGCACCACTACACCTCTCTCCATTCTGAAAACTGGCCATTGATTCCTACACTTGGTTTCAGATCCACCATGTCGCCTTCATGAACGCTAACGCACATGAGTGCCGCTGAGGTTAGAGCGTCACAAGACCTGTTGTACCATCTGCGGGGTCTGCATCGGCACTGGCAACTTTACCGTTCTCTGCACCGGTAGTCCATCCACTGACCTTGCCACTTGGGTTGAGGGATCTTTCTATTGAAGATGGAGAGAACAGCCTCCTCCCTTGATAGTCTCCTCTTCTTTATCAGATGAAGCCTTATCTAGATAAGCAGTGGCCCCAGTCCTGGAGGACTCCCACGTACTATAACTTTTATATGGGTTGACCGGGGTTTAGACATTAAATTGGAGGAAGTGGTTGATGAAGCCAACCCTAGCTCCCTCTGGCCCATCCAGAATTGCATTGTCACTAATTAAAAGTGTCACGGACATGACAAAAAATCCTTGAGGCAAACCCTGTTGCAACCTACAGCCAAGTGCAACAAATGGTTTTTTTGTATCCTCCAAAGAAAATGAATACCTTTGTTCCCACCCACAGCCCAGCTGTTTGGAAGTAGACTCTTCCATCCAGATTGAAAGAAGTTTTCCAGGGCCCCTCACCTAAAAACAGGGATGCCAAGTATTTAGAGCTCTTCAGACGGAAGGTCAATTCGATAGTTGGCCTTCAATTACACATTGCCAATTGGCAAGCCATTGTCAAATAGGTATTCCTATAATACCTGCCTGATGATGGCTAGGTTCACTGAACTGCTCCCTTTGGACTCCTGTGCTGAGTTTTCGGCTTTGATCAAGGAAGGGAGGTTGATTTCTCCAGTATTCCTCCATGTGGCAATAAGACTTGGCTTATGCAGCTACAAGGATCATGGCTAATGCATATAGTCAGACTCCAGGTATCAGGCCTCCTTTGTTGCGTCAAATGGACTTTTCAGGACCTCCAGTTTAAGGGGGATACTTTTTTTTTCCTGAGAACTGAAAATAGATTTGACAGCCTGAAAGCTTCTAGTGCTACCAATGGTTCATTCTAGTGCTACACTCTATCTACTCAGAGGACACATTTTTGCTTGCAGATACAGCAGTATTTCTCTCATCAGAGCCAACAAGTAGGATCGAGCAGAAGAAATCACAGTGGCAGAAGAAGGCTACATCAACTTTCTGGGCAGAACTTGGACCATCTGAAACAGTCTTCAGGGGGTGAAAGTGGCCTTTTGAAGGCATGGTTGAGAATGGCATGGCATACCATACCTGATTCTGGATTCACCCTGCTTTTCCTTTTATTTCTGACTATCTACTTTCTATCATGTATTGCCCTGTATCACCATGGACTGATGAGTATTAAGAATGGAAGAGGGGGAATACACCATCCAATCCTCTTCTCTCCTGGTCTTCCACCTCCCTTCCGTGTCCCTAATTAGGGACTCCTCTCATAAGCAACTCCATATCCAGGAGGTGCAATCACTCCTATCTCTAGGAGAACACAAATGTAAGGATTTTTACACACTTATTTCCTAACTCTGAAAGCCAAGTTCCACATTTCTCCTTGGCCTGTATCACTCTCCCTCTGGATCCAGCATATTGGTGTTGCCCTTGACTTGAAGGACACGCATTTCCCTATAGCACTCTCTTGGTGCCACAGGAAGTACTTCAGGTTTGTGATGAATGGTACTCCCCATGAGTTTACAGTCCTGTCATTGGGTCTGTCAGTAGCAACTCTTGTTTTTACCAAGTGCGTTGCAAATGTCGTCTCGCTTTTGAGCAGGCATCAAGTATAAGTGATGACTGGCTGATCAAGGCTTGTCCAAGCACTCAGCTGGAAGGTCACATTCATCAGAGCCACCTTTGACAACCTGAGTCT